AGGTTATTCCGATTCCTGCCCTTGGAAAGGTCTACCAGGAAATCATGAGTGACTCATGTAGGACAAGCAACACGGAAGGCATACAGAGAGGCCATACAGTTGGGGCTATGAAGAGCCATTAGAAGCTGAAGTTATGAGTAAGCTGAAGTCGGGAGGAGGCAGGAACCTTGCCTACAGTGAAGCAGGAGGTTGGAGGTTGGGGGTTGGCAGGGCGGGGGTGAGGAAGGCTGTTGGTGGGAAGTGAGGGGATACAGAGAAGCAGAAACACCGGAATCAGCCAAGTTATACCAATGACAAGGCACATGTGAAGGTGCACCAACTCTGGCTGCTGGTCCCAAAATTGCCCCGAATCCAGCAGAGTCCCTGCTAAGCCAGCTCATCCCTCATCCCTGTTGCTGGGCTCCCACGTGTTCTTGTCTCCTTTACCCTTGCATATGGCTTTACTATACAATTCCTTTCTCTGAGCTCAACAGAGGAAGCAGAAACTCTTTTCACACTGTCACCAGTGCCAAACTGACCCAAGGCTCATAAGACCCGTTTCCTCAACTGCTGGGAAGTTCCCTAAAGGACAGGGGTCTAGAGACAGGGAAATGAGAATGCTAGACTGTGTGTTGCTTTGGAATACATTGCTTTGCTTAATGAATTAGTGCACTTTCATGGAGGTCTGCCTCCTAGGGGAAGGGCAGAGAGCAGAAACAGAAGGCAACAGATGATGAGGATCAACTGACACTTTGCTCATGCTGATCCTTTCCTCTCACCCAAATCCCACCCACCCTTCATGTTCCCTCTTCCACCAAACCTTTCTCAGCTACTCCAACCACATCAGCACTGATCCTTTTTTTTTTTTTTTTTTTTTTTTGAGTCAGTCCGACTGTCACCCAGGCTGAACTGCAGTGGCAAGATCACGGCTCACTTAAGTGGGTTCAAGTGATCCTCGCACCTCTGCCTTTCAAGTAGCTAGGACCCTAGATACATGCTACCATTCCCAGCTAATTTTGTGTGCGTGTGTGTGTGTGTGTGTGTGTGTGTGTATGCGTGTGGTAGAGATGGATTCCCACTGCTGCCCAGGCTGGTCTTGAACTCCTGGGCTCAAGTGATCTTCTAGACTCAGCCTCACAAAGTACTGGGATTACAGGCATGAGACCCTGACCCCTGACCTCTTAACTCCTATGGTACATTGCCCGATTGGCCCCAATTCTTCATCCCCTATATCCAGACCTTTTGTCTTTCTTTATGGTTCCTCCCACTAACTGGGCAGAGTACATTTCACCATTCTTTGACTTTGAGTTTGTCCATACAACTGGCTTTCTCCAGTAACATAAGACGGAAGTGATGGTGTGCCAGCTCCAAGGCCTCTTGTACTTCTTCCATCCCCGAGCAAAGGGTATGCCCAGGCTACTCCACTATTCCCAAGAGGAAGATAAGAGATACATGAAACAAAGCTGCCTTGGCCAAGCTCCCCCAGTTGAATCCAGCCTAAATCAGCCCACCTTTAAATGTCTGAGCTAAGGAAATGTTTATTGTTGTAGGCCACTGACCATTTAGAGTTGTTTGATCTATAGCTGACAACTACCCATAGTACTTATTGTGCATTTCCATACTTGGTGATTTAACAGCAGTAGATTATTTGTACATATGTCATTGTGTCTTTGAGCAGATCTCTCCTGGTTAAGATTGCCAGGTTTCACAAATAAAGATACAGGATGCCCAGTTAAATTTGAATTTCAGACAAATAATTTTTTAGTAGAAATGTGTCCTGTGCAATTTTTAGAACATATTTATACTAAAAATTATTTATCTAAAATGCAAATTTAACTGGGAATCCTGTATTTATCTGGTAATCCTACTTCCAGGAGTGCTTGAGACAGTATAGATATCTTACACAACAGCTGTGAGATCATTTACATGGTCACCACCATAATGTTGGGAGGGGAAAGCCATGGTTCAGTTAAAGATTTGCAAAGACAGAAAGTGAACCTTGAGCATGCTCCTCTCCCCAGTGGCAAATCTACTCTGCATAATAATGGCCATCATGGTTATCTTTTGCCTAGTCCCTGTGTGGGCAGTGCGTGGGCTAAACACCCTATCTAATTTTTATTATACTTTAAATTCTAGGGTACATGTGCACAACGTGCAGGTTTGTTACATATGTATACATGTGCCATGTTGGTGTGCTGTACCCAATAACTGGTCATTTACATTAGGTATATCTCCTAATGATATCCATCCCCCCTCCCCCCACCCCACGATAGGCCCCAGTGTGTGATGTTCCCCACTCTGAGTCCAAGTGTTCTCATTGTTCAATTCCCACCTATGAGTGAGAACATGCAGTGTTTGGTTTTCTGTTCTTGTGATAGTTTGCTACACTGGTTATCGTATTTAGTCACTCGTCCAATCCTTTTTCAAGGTTTTTAGCTTGTGATGGGTTCAAACATCTTCCTTTAGCTTGGAGAAGTTTGATCATCTGAATCCTTCTTCTCTCAACACGTCAAAGTCATTCTCCATCCAGCTTTGTTCCATTGCTGGCGAGGGGCTGCATTCCTTTGGAGACGACGTGCTCTGATTTTTAGAATTTTCAGCTTTTCTGCTCTGGTTTCTCCCCATCTTTGTGGTTTTATCTACCTTTGGTCTTTGATGATGGTGACGTACAGATGGGGTTTTGGTGTGGATGTCCTTCCTGTTTGTTAGTTTTCCTTCTAACAGTCAGGACCCTCAGCTGCAGGTCTGTTGGAGTTTGCTGGAGGTTCACTCCAGCCCGATCCTTCCTCTGGAAGCTTAGTCTCAGAGGAGCACCTGGCGTATGAGGTGTCAGTCGGCCCCTACTGGGAGGTACCTCCCAGTTACACTACTCAGGAGTCAGGGACCCAGTTGAGGAGGCAATCTGTCCATTCTCAGATCTCAAACTCCACGCTGGTAGAACCACTACTCTCTTCAAAGCTGTCAGACAGGGACGTTTAAGTCTGCAGAAGTTTCTGCTGCCTTTTGTTCAGCTATGCCCTGCCCCCAGATGTGGAGTCTACAGAGGCAGGCAGGCCTCCTTGAGCTGCAGTGGGCTCCACCCAATTTGAGCTTCCTAGCTGCTTTGTTTACCTACTCAAGCCTTAGCAATGGCGGACACCCTTTCCCCAGCCTCGCTGCCACCTTGCAATTCGATCTCAGACTGCTGTGCTAGCAGTGAGCAAGGCTCCGTGGGTGCGGGATATAATCTCCTGGTGTGCCATTTGCTAAGACCATTGGAAAAGCGCAGTATTAGGGTGGGAGTGTTCCGATCTTCCAGGTACCGTCTGTCACAGCTTCCCTTGGCTAGGAAAGGTAATTCCCCAACCCCTTGCACTTCCCGGGTGAGGTGATGCCCCGCCCTGCTTCGGCTCACGCCCCGTGGGCTGTACCCACTGTCTGACAAGCCCCAGTGAGATGAACCCAGTACCTCAGCTGGAAATGCAGAAATCACCTGTCTTCTGCATCACTCACGCAGGGAGCTGTAGACTGGAGCTGTTCCTATTTGGCCATCTTGGAACCCCCCGCCTCCTACCCTATGTAATTTTCACATCGGTGCTGCAACCTAGGGAAGTGGCTAAATCTTTTTAGCCATTTACAAATGACTACACTTTCCCTTGGTCACACAGCTGGAGAGAGTAGCAGAGCCGGAATTCAAATGCAGCCCTTTATCTTTCCATATTGCAATCCTGCTTTCAGCTACCAAAGATGTTTTGCTGCTGTTTTCACAAAATGGAAGATGACAAATATATTCCCCAGCCCTCCATTCTACCCACGTGGGAGTATGAATGACAGGTTGTATTAGTGTCCTAGGTTTGCTGTAACAAAGAACCACAGACTGGTTGGTATAAGTGACAGAAATTTATTTTCTCACAATCTTGGAGACTCAACATCAGAGATCAAGGTGCCAGCAGGGTTGGTTCCTTCTGAGCACTGGGAGAGAATGATCTGTTCCAGGTCCGTGATGGTTAATTTTATGTGTCGACGTCACTGAGCCATTGGATGGCCAGATCTTTGATTAAATGTTATTTCTGGGTGTTTCTGGAAGAAATTAACATTTGAATTGGTGGACTGAGTAAAGCAGTCTGCTAAAGCAGTCTGCCCTCCTCAGTGTGGGTGGGCTTCATCCAATCCACGGAGGGCCTAAACAGAATAAGGCAGACTGCTGTTGAATTGGTGCTCTCAATTCAATTGCCTGACTACATGAGGTGATTCGTCAGTCTCCTCCTGCCCTTGGACTGGGACTTCCACCATCAGTGCTCCTGATTCTCAGGCCTTTGCACTCACTGGAATTTATACCACCCGCTTTCTGGGGGCACCGGCTTGCAGATGGGAGATCATAAAACTCCTCAGCTTCCATAATTGCATGAGCCAATTCTGTGTAACAAATGTCATTTTGTGTTCTGTTTCTTTGAAGAACCCTAATACAATGCGTCTCTCCTTGGTTTGTAGATGGCCATTTTCTCCCTTGTCTTCACATCATCATCTTCTTACAGGGACACCAGTCATACTGGATTAGGATCCCATCCTAATGATCTCAATTTCACTTAATCACCTCTATAAAGACCCTGTCTCCTAATAAGGTCACATTCTGAGGTACTGGGGGCTGGGAGTTAGGACTTCAACATAGGAATTTTGGGAAAAGAGGGGGACCTGGGTTAGCCCATAACAGGGTTTGTGGAGCTGAGACTTATCCCAACACAATCTTCATTTTAAAAAGGAACCCAAGGGAACAGATTTCAAATGGTGGAATTCTGAGTTTCACAAGGTGGAACTCTAGTTTTTAAAGCAATCCTTATGGGCAGGAAAGGCCCATCCTGCAGTTCTTAATGTTAGCATGTTAGCACCTCAAAAGTGTCACACCCTCCACCAAAGGGGCCCTAGCAACTTGTAGAATGTAGGTTATTATGAGGACACGGGATTGTGATGGTGGCCAGGCTGTGGAATCTGGTGAGGCCAAATGTCAGCACCTCAAATGATGTCTTGTGACCCCACCTGGCAGCGTTCTGGTTTTCTGGATGGCAGCAGAGGACAGGGAGATGATGGAAGCCCGGGGTGCGGGAGAAAGTTGCCCAACCTTCCCCAACATGGTGCCTGGTGACTCCAAGTCTGAAGGGAAGCCAAGGGCTTGTCTGGTAAGGGGGCTGCTGTGTCTCACTGACCCCGCCTATTCCGTCAGGGGGAGCAAGAATACTGTAGGAACACATGATAGGAGCTGAGTACTTTGAGGTTCCAGACAGCTGCCAAGAACATCAGGTGACAGGTACCCCACCCCTGTAACTGGCACCCAGCTGTCACCAGGGACTAGGTAGCCCTCCATAAGATTGTGAAGTCACATGAAGATGGCTTTGGTCTCCTCCATCTACCTCCCCACTTGGGGCCCTCCCCTTGCTGGGTGGATAGGACCTGGCTCCCCACCATAGCCCTCTTCCTGGTCCCCAAATATTTAGGTTCTCTCAACTCAGACTCTAGGTTTCTTTCTCCCTCTGACTGATCTCAAAGTCAGGTAGAGTTGAGGATGGGCCCGGAAGTTGCCTCTTTGGTCATCTGAAAAATCACTAGGAAAATGGACATCCATCTACTCAACTCCCAGTGCCTCCACTTGCAACTTTAGGGCACCATTACTTGGTGCTAGTTTGTCCTCTCCTTCTTGACCCTCAGGTCCTGACAACTCCGCGTAAGAGCACTTCTAATAAGAATTCAGCCTAGATCTTTTCCATTCCTGGGGCTGTGGGAGTTCCATGGGGTCGGGGGCAGCCCCATCCTGACTCCTCATAGTACCTCCCCTCCCTGCTTCCCCTGCCCCAGGAGGCAGAGTCCCAGAAGCCAGACTCCTCCTATGACTACTTGGAAGAGATGGAAGCTTGTGAGGACGGTGGCCGCCAAGGGCCGCTTAAATCGCTGTCCCCCAAGTCCTGCCCTGCCACCAAAGGCCAGGCAGGCGACGGACCCAAACCCACAGAGCTGCCCCCGGCCCCTGGTACTGAGCGCAATCCCGAGATGGAGCTGGAGAAGGTGCGCATGGAGTTTGAGCTCACACGGCTCAAGTACCTGCATGAGGAGAACGAGCGGCAGCGGCAGCACGAGGTGGTGATGGGGCAGCTGCAGAGGGAGCGGCAGCACGAGGTGGTGATGGAGCAGCTGCAGCAAGAGGCAGCACCCCGCCTGGTGGGTGACAAGGAATGGGGCACTGGGAGGAGGGAGGCCTGGAGCTGCGGTCCCGTGGGGCCTAGAGCAGGCGCCCACCTTCCCTGGTTTGCACGGCATCCCACCCTGCAGATCCTAGATCTCGGCTGAAAGGGGCTGAGCATCCACAAGGGCGGTCTCCAGCCCTCTCTGTCTTGGCTTACTTCCAGAGATGTCGGCTCACTGACTTAAAGCTCACTACTCTACCTGGCCAGCTCGGTTAAACAGAGCACAGGAAGCTGAGATGTGATTCTCTAAGGAGAGCTGAGGCTGGGAGGGGCCCCAGAACCACATCGCCCACCCAACAGCATTTTTGGTAGCTTCAAGGAAAAGTCTTCAACGTTTCCTCCCTCTTCCACCGCTCACAAGTCCTCTCTGCATCTCTTAAAATTTGGTGCCTGGAGGCTAGATCTAGAATCCCCACTGCAGCCTGGCCAGTGGATTTTGACAGAACCATCACCTCCCCGATCAGGGCTGTTTATTCTGTTGGATCATACTGCCTTGTAGTCAACTGAAACAGCCATCTTTTCACAAGAAGTACACCACTCTTCCCTAATCTGTATTAAAGGGGGATAAGAATGCCCGACTTGAGATTAAATGGGACGTGAAGAGCTTAGCACAGTGGTTAGGCTATCATAAGCATTCAATAGTGGAAGATGTTTAAAGCAGTGTTTCCTGGGCTTTAAAGTCAGAAAGTCCTGGGTTAAAATACCAGGTATAAACTCCCTGACATTGGGCAAATTACTGATTTCTTTTAGCTTTGGCTTGCTCATCCATGAAGTAGTACCTACTTCATAGGGTTGTTGTGAGGATTCAATAAGAGAACACATGCAAGGCACTTTGCAATTAGCCCAGCACATTAAGTAAGCACTCAATAAATGTTAGCTATTACCATTTTTATGTACTCATGCAATTCACTTCTTGACCCAAATGCAACAACATACATCATTTTTCAGTTTTATTGGGATGTGATGTATTAGCTGTGCTTCCCAGCTCTGAGTCATCCTCAGTTCTGAGAACGTGCCTTCTGCCTTTATCCAAGTCAGTCACTGCTGTAATTGTTGAGGAGGATATGACCTAAAGTAAATACCACTAAATGTCTCTCTATAGGTTGGCAATGTCTCATTAATCATCACCCTTGAGTTACATTTTATCCTGCTAACATTTCTCCACCTTATCCAAAAAACGGAGACGCACTGTCAAATGGTTTCCCAAAATTAAGATATTATATCACCTATAGCATTTCCCCAATTGACTAGTCCCGTTTTTGTTTTTTTAAGAAGTAAGGTTGGTTTTGCATCATTTGTTCTCAATGAACACATGCTGGCTTCCTAAACAATTATCTTTTTTTCTGTTCACAAAATATCTGCTTCATTATACGTGAAATGATTTCACTGAACTCAGTCAAGCTTACCGAACTGGGATTTCCAGAATCTTCCCCTGCCCCCACCCCCTTTTTGAAAAGTCTAGAAAATATTTGCCTATTGCTTGGACTTTAGCGCACTTCCTAATATTCTTGAATTCTAAGTTCCATTTCCAAACTTGTGACTTTTCTCAGTAGCCTGGGATAAAATCTGTCACAAAGTGGAGCCTGAAACTATTTAAAGCAGATATGATATTGTAACTATGCCTTTGGCCTGTGTCTCCTTCCAACCATATTTATTTTCCCCCCTTTTTAGTTTGAAAATCTTTCTCCTCCCTGGATGAGATGAAAATCTTTGGTATATAGTCCTATCTCTATCTCTCTTCTGCTCAAAAAATAGAACATTGAAAGTATTTTGAAAAGTCTAAAGGGTTTCACAAGCACATTTTTTTAATGAAAGTCATAATGATCACCTGTCAGCATTTCAGACTGAAACACGCGCAGACTGCAGAGAGGTGGCAAGGTCCAGGGATCCAGAGCCATACTGAGCCTGCAGAGAACCGTCGGGTCAGCCCCGCCCTCCACTCCCATTACAACACTGGATTGCTTTCTCTGGTCTCCAACTTTCCTAGCTATTGATTTTAGAGGCAGCATCACCAGAGTCATTTTCTGTCCCCTCAGTTTGGTCTAGTTGCCCTCACATTTTATGTAGCTGTTTCAATAGTAATGTGTCCTCATCCCCCAGCCTTTGGCAATAGTTAACAAAAGTGTTTACTTTTTGTGCATTTACTAAAAATTGGAGAGTTGACTTGATGTTGAAGCTTCCCCTCTTCTCTTTTCCTGGGAGGGTAAATAGATGGACAGACAGAGTTTATTGAATTAAAAATACCTCTTTGAGTGTGTTTCTAGCTAGTTTAGGGCATCTCGCTCCCTGCCACCTGGTGCTTTCCAAAAAATATGGCATGACTTTTACAAATATTTTTAAAAATAATGCATGGGTTATGCCCTCTTAACTATGGATCAACATAGTATCAGCTTTTGCCTTACTTATACATTGACGCTTTCTACAGTTAAAATGAAGACTGTTGGGCCCCAATTATATAGATTCAAGAAAAGAGCAACCCGCAGGCAGAATTAGCCAGACAACTCAAGCTGCTTTCCCCCAGCCCAAATATTCTGAAGGTTTAGGGAGATCCCATCACCAATCTCTCAGCACCTGCCTCCAGGAAAGACCAAACTCTGGACTGAAGGACCATGGACTGACGCACGTGATATGTGTCAGGACCCAGGGAGTCAGAAACAGTCATTTATATGCAACGGACACTGTGTTATTGGGCCACTGTCCAGGAAACTAGGTTGAATGTCAGGGCACTGTGAGAGAACACTCCCAAGACCCAAGATCCAGATGTGAGGCTCTTGGAGTCAGAGAGAGAAGGCCCACGTGTGTGGCTCCAATGGGCAGTACAGACCATAAAGAGAAAGGAAGGTGGTGGCCTGGTGCCCCAGTCAGGAGGGATAAGGGCAGCTCAAAAAGTGAAAAATGATGAGTTCCTTCTGTGTGCTAGTTGCCTGACTAGGAATGTTTCATTATCTCAGTTTTCCTCCTGTGATCTTTTATTTATTTTTTTTTTAGAAACAGGATCTTGCTGTCTCACCTAGGCTGAAGTTAGTGGCATGAGCTTAGCTCACTATAACCCTGAACTCTTGGGCTCAAGTAATCCTTCCACCTCAGCCTCCCAATAGCTGGGACTATAGGCACACATCACCACATTTGGCTAATTTTTAAATTTTTTTATAGAGACAGGGGTCTCACTACATTGCCCAGGCTGGTCTCAAACTCCTGGCTTCAAGCAATCCTCCCACCTTGGCCTCCCCAAGTACTGGGATTATAGGTATAAGCCACCTTGCCCAGCCCTCATGATTTTGGAAATAGGCACTATTACCCCTTCCTTAGGTGAAGATGATGACCTGAGGTCACATACAGGCAGGGACAGAGCAGGACTGAACCTAGATCTGCCTGGCGCCAACAGTGGCATCACCATCTCCACTGTCTTCTCTCCCCCACAGTTTTCAGGAGGCCTCCAGAACCTCCTGCTGCCCCAGAACCAGTTTGCCATGTTCCTGTACTGCTTCATCTTCATTCATATCATCTATGTCACCAAGGAGATGGTCTTCTTTCTCTTCGCCAAGCACTACCTTTTCTGCATCGCGGCCATTTTGCTCTGTTTGATTAAAACTTTCTGGTCATACTTCCAAGTGCTTTTGCTCTCTCCATCACTGGGAACCCTCGCCCTTGCCATGCTAGAGTGTTATCAGTGCATGATCCCAGCCTCCCGGGCACCGCATTTGTTCACTTTGTGCCTCTGTTCAGTCAGAATCCACTCTTAGGAAGAGCCCTGCTGTCAGTCATTTACACCCGAGAGTGAAGAAACATGTTCATGCCCCCTTATACAGAGCCTGAGTTCTCACTGTGGACACGATGCTTTATCCCAAGAGGAAGATATCAGATGTTAGCAGGTCAGGGAGATATCTGCAGGGAAGGAGTGTTTAGAACACCTTTCCAGAACCCTAGAAGTACATCATGACCAAGCTGGCTTGGGTTTCAGCACATCTGCTCGTGTTCATAGACCTCTGAGGGGTGGGAAGCCTGTGATCGGCTTGGGAGCGGCCCCCACCCCCATCTTCTGCAAAGATGTCCATGTCCTAATCCCCATGAATACTTCATATGGCAAAAGAGGCTGAGATGTGATTGCGTTAAGGACCTTGCAGTGGGGAAATGATCCCAGATTATCCAGGTCGGCCCGTGGTAGTCACAAGGACTCTTGTAAAAGGGAGGCAGGAGGGTGTGAGTCAGAAAGGAGACGTGACCGTGGAAGCAGGGGCCGGAATGACTCAGGGCTGTGGGTCAGGAAATGTGGGAAGCCTCTAGAAACCAGAAAAGGCAATAGAAGGATTCTCTGCTAGAGCCTCTGGAGGGAGCCCAGCGCTGCCACCCCATGTTAAGCTCCTGACCTCCAGAACTGTAAGAGAGTAAGTCTGTGTTATTTTAAGTCATTAAGTTTGTAGCAGTTTGTTACAGCAGCCACAGGAAACTAATACAGGAGCCAAGACTCCCAAGCTCCCTCCACCTGTGCCAACATGGCAGGATACCATCACCAGGCCACTGGCCAGGCCTCATTTAGCACTGGGCCTGAGCAGACTTGTACACAGCTGGCCTTCAGACAGCATATGGTTAAAAAGGAGAGGCAGTGAAGCTCCAGGGAGCCCGGCACAGGCCTAGCTGAACCTGGTGGACAAGCAGTATCCCTATCACTGAGCTATGTGTCCCCTGGATGAGGCATATGGCAAAATAAGGGCATACTCCTAGGGGACATAAGGAAGGAGGAATTAAATGCCTGATTAGACCCAGAGGACGTCATTAATTCAACTCTATTGGAAAGCTGGACATGAGGAAAAAAAAAAAGTTGGCACACACCCCCACCCCTGTACCCACCTACTAATCCAAGCACACAGACTCACAAAAATGCAGAAAAGCTAACCAAGGAACAAATACACTGACACAGAGATACAAAACAAGCATACAGTTGTCCACAGTAGAGAGGTTCACAGCCCCTCAAACAGACAACCACCCGAAGGAATAGACTCTGAACACCAGAGGGCTCACGGTCAGGCACAAAGTGAAGCTGCCCCGCATGTCCGCAACAAAGAAAAGGGGTTCAACTCCCCCAGTCGCCAGCCCCTCAGCCCTTCAACACACAAACACTCCTTGCAGACTGTCAGCTGCTCTGAGCCCAGCAACCCAGCCATGATGGCTGGCTGTGCCACAGGACACTTTAGTGATAATGTGGCAAACTGACGAGGCTGGACACAGCTGTGCAATTAATCAAGTCTTTATTGACCCCTTCTCTCCTCTGGCATAGGGCTCTGCCTTCAGAGGGACAAGAGAATAAGTTTCTGTCTCATCGGCTCTTGAGCGACTCTCAGTAAAATCACGTGAAAAAATGCCTTGGGACTTCAGTGTCAGTACACATTATCATGCCGTTTAAGTCCATGGTGACTTCTCATTTCCCACCCGGCGCCATATATCCATCCCCACTGGCAGCTGCATGTGACAGGCACTTAATTTGGAAGTGATAGAAGTGTCATTTCTCATTAAACTTTCAAGGATGGGCCATTGTGGTGTGGGTCACTTCTTCCGATTTTATTTGATCTGGGTTTCTGCCCCATGGGGTTGAGGTGAGAGAGATGGAGATAAGAATAGCAAAAAGTTTAAGGTCCACCTGTTTACCTTCTTAGAGCAGACAGAACTGGGCATTTATAAAACACACACACACGCACAAACCAAAAAAACACAAGTGCTATAAGGTCATTTAATCCATCCATCTGTTGCCAGGTAAAACTAGACTTAAATACATTCAGTTTTCTTAATCTTCAGAAAAAGTAAACTTCCCTGAGCAGTTAAGTGAGCATCTCATCCCACCTCTTTAGCCACAGACATGAAATCTACTCTTCCCTATTGTGTTTGAATACTGAAGCCACTAGCCTTAGATCTGCCCTCTAGGAAAATGAGAACTACTCATGGTCACTCCCCAAACTTAAAGCAGATCTTCTGGTTCAAATGCAAAGCAGAAAATCAGAAGAGAGAGGGTGGCAAAGGATAGGAAAAAGGCCCAGCTAGGCAGTTACCAGCCGGGTAACAAGCCAATGTACAAGCGCCTCTTCAGCACCAATGCGAACACATCATGTGCCCTAAGTCCCTAAGGAGGCTATCATCACCAAAACCCTGTAGGTAGAAATGTATATCATCTCCGCTTCACAGCCAAGGATACCGAGGTTCAGAGAGGTTAGACTTAACCGAGATCATCCCAGGGCACATGTTCTTTCTATGTTACCCTGCTCCCAAGATCCTGCCTTGGGAGGATCTCACAACCTTGCTGGGGAGATGAGTTTAACACACGTGAAAATGTAAAGCAGCTATCAGTATACAGACCTCAGCTATAAATGAGGTCATAGAGGAGCTCCCTGGAGCCCAGGGTGATAGAGGAAGTCTTCTTGAAAGACGAGCTCGTAAGGCTAGGTAAGTCCGAACAGGTGGAAATCAGGTGGGATGCCTCACACAACTGAAGATGAGGCTGGGAGTGTGTAACGTGTATCCAGGAGAGAAGGGTCACACTTGCTCCAGGGAATGGTGTAAAAGGTAACAGGTCTGGAAAATTGGTTTGGGGCTAAGTTTTAGAGAGCCTTGAACATTGGTCTGAGGAATATAAACTTAATCCCTTGGGAAATAGGGAATGCACTAAAGATTATAGGGTGGAATAGTAATTCAAAACAGATAAATAAAAGCCTTTCTCCTTCTCCTTTAATTCCTGGGGACCACCTTCTTGCCTGGACCTTCCCGTTTCCAGACCAGAAACTTTCTGAGGTCCTGAGTTTGAGGATTACATTCAGCTGTAAAATAAATCCAGCCACAATGGCTTCACCAAATAGAGGTTTATGTTGCTCACATACCAGGAAGTCCCAGGTAGTCCGTCCACGGCTGGTGAAACTGCTCTCCAAGTCACAGAGTACCCAGGTGGCGCCTTCCTCCACCACCACAGGGCTCTTATCATCAGCCCACGGCGTCCAGCCTCGTAGTGTCAAGTCGGCCGAAGCAGCTCCAGGTGCCGGATCCACTACTCCAGGTCAGAAAAGGAGCTGCCTTTTAAAAGCTTCCGAGGAAGCCCCACCCAGAGATTTCTGCTTACATGCCATTGGCCAAACTAAGGTCACGTGGCTGCACCTATCTGTAGGGTGTCTGAGGTAGTAAGTTTTTTGCGTGGACACTCTTGCAGCCTCAAACAAAATTAGAATTCTGATAGTATGAGTGGAGGGGGGAGACACTGAATTAAGCAAATAACTGGTGTATCATTCCTAATTCCTTAGGCCCAGCTCCCACTCCCTTCCTGAGCCGCTGAGCCAGAAAGCCTTGGTTGGGTTGAAACCATCGGGTAGAGCACAGCCATAGCCAATCTGGGCCTGGCCACTGCCGCACTCGGCTTTAAGGAAGAGTACTGCATACCACAACAGGGAGGTCATGGGTTTCCCTGGCCACACACCTGGAGCCACTCTGCCTTCATCCTCCTGACCGCTGCCTGAGGCCCCATGACCTGACACAACCAGGGCAGCAGACTGGGAAGGGCACTCCTCTCTGTGCTGGGTGCCCTCAGCAAAGCTGCAAGGGGAGGCAAGTTGGACTCCAGAGCCCTTCCCCTTCCTGATCCCAGATCCCACAGAACAGAGCCTGGAGCCAGTCAGGGGACTATGGTCAGCCCACGGACACTAAGCTGCTAAAGTCTATGTATAAGAGATTGCACACATTGCAAAGGACCACTAAGCTTCAGCCTAAATAATGAAGCACTAACAGTAAAGTTTCAGGCAGGCTTAGGGAGAAAAAGATGGGCGAATCTTTCCTGCTCCCTAAATGGAATATCGTAGGTTGCCACCCTGAGCCCAAGGACTACAGTTGGAGAGACTCAGGTTGGAGGGTTAAAGCTTGACTCCAAAGGCCACTTTCCTGCCATGTATATTTCTAGCCACAAGTTAGCAGATGACTGTAAGCAAGTCAGTTAAGTTTTCTAGACTTCATTTGGGTGACCTCTAAATTATTTAGACTCTAACTCAGAAAAAAGAAGGACCAAAGTCTAGAGATTGTTTGAGAAATTCTGATTTAATTGATCTGAGATGGCATCCAGAGGTGATTTGTCAGCCTTACAAGTGCCCCAGTTGATTCTAATATGCAATCAGGGTTGAAAGACCTAAATCCTTGCCCTTCAACATGTGATCTGTGGATCGGCAGCATCTGCGTGTTAGAAATGCAGCATCCCAGACCCTGCCCCAGACCCACTGAAGCAGATGCGGTTTGACAGTATCCCCCAGCCCCCAGCAATTCATATGCATTTTAAAATCTGGAAAGCCTGCTATAGGTGCTGAGACTCAATTCAATCTGTCCTGGTCTGTCCTGGGCTAGCGCGGTGGCTCACGTCTGTAATCTCGGCAATTTGGGAGGCTGAGGCAGAAGCCCAAGAGCTCAAGACGAGCGAAGGCAACACAGGGAGATCCCATCTCTCAAAAAAAAAAAAAAAAAAAAAAGCCAGGTCCGGTGGCATGCACCTGCTGTGCTGTCCCAGCTACTCAGGAGGATGAGACGTGAGCCTGGGAGGTTGAGGCTACAGTGAGCTGTGATTGTGCCACTGCACTCCAGCCTGGGGGACAGAGCAAGACCCTATCAGAAAAAAAAAAAAAAAAAAAAATCGGTTCTCTTTTTGAAGACAATGCTGTTGGCCAGAAGGGTCTTCTAGGGGGAATGAGAGGGAGAACAACTGAGTGCATGGCCCTTCAGAAGTGCTATGGGGTCTCCATTAACTTGGAGACCCCTATGCCGCAGGCTAGGGGTGGCAGGAGCTTGCTGTGCCACATCAGGAAGCTGCGCCTGTGGGTAGCACATCTGCCCCTCCCTCCTTTCACCAGTTCATGCTCTGAGCTTCTGGAGAACCAAATGACTTCACCCTGCAGGCCAGGACTCAACAGAAAGTTCCAAAATCCCCACAGACCTGTGTCTGCCTCTGTCCCTTTTTTGATCTGACTCCCATGTGTAGCTTTGGGGAAATCTTGCTAATATACATTCATTCATTATTTAAAGGTTGCCGCTGTTCTTCAGGAAGGTTAAGCATGATTAAAAGATGGGATTTTTCCACAGGGCACAGCAGAAAGGCTAGGGCTCCCACATTTTTAAGCTGTTTTGGCCAAGCCTTGTTGCATAATTCAAAGTCTGTGACTTACTTAGATTTAATTAGCCAAAGGAGCAGCAGCTGCAAGTTCATTAGTCAGTATTTATTAAGCACTCTCAGAGGGCTTTGTGGGCTCTTAAGAGTGAAGTGGAGGATGGGTTTCAGACTTGCAAATTTCTTACACTTAAGTAGGAGGGGATTACAGATAGCCAGGAGGTAGGCATTTTTGTTCCTCAAAGAGAGCAAAGGGGTGGCATCAAAAGGCCTGGGCTCATGGGGCAAATCCTACAAAGGGCCACGAGTCAGAGAGGTGTCAGCCCCTCACAGCCCCTCACCGGTGACCCCTCACAGGTGTCACAGGGTTATAGTGACAATTAGTGAGATAACGAGGTGGAGGCTGGTGGGGAATGAGAAGCTACACAGATGAGAGGTATCAGCCAGAGCAGGGAAGGGAAGTGACTGCTAACCAGAATGTCAAGAACTGGGAGAGGTGGGGAGTTCGGGCTCCTGAATTTGTGGGCCCAGTGCAAGAGGACAGTGCAGTTTCCCTTATTCAAAAACATCAAGAATTCCACGACGGTGACAGCAGAGCATTAAGCCATGTGCAGAGCCCCCGCTGAGTGTGCAGCCCTGTGCCACTGCCCTGGCGGCGGATGATGGAGACCCCAGGGGTAAGGGGCTTTTGTGGTGCTTCTCAAATCTCACCCAGAGAGTGACTATCCTTGGCCTGTACTCCCATCAACAGGAGAGAGGGAGGGAGCAGGCTCTTTGCATTTTGCAGGGGCAGGGACCATTGGAGCAGGCCATTGGAGGAAGCGAGTCTGGTGGCCCCCAGGGCAAGTGGCCCCTGCATGCCTTCCAGCTCTTGGCACAGAGTCTGGCTGCTGAGGTGCCTCTTCACAAGCAGGTCACGCTCTAGGCTTCCAGCTGCTAATCACAGGGGCTCTCCAGCTTGGGGGCATTTCCTCTCTCTGCTCCTGGCTTCCGCCCTAGCCCCATTCAGCTGATCATTCTCCTTTGGGCTAGAAAATCCAAAAATAGAAGAAAGCGACACTTTTTACCCCCTTGAGCCTCTTGTATCAAATGACACAGTCACTTTGCCTCAAACTTTTCATCAAAGCAGCCTTTGTAAGGTCCTGGGGCAGAAAGCAGGCCTTGGAAGACAGCCACCAGGAAGCCGTGCAGAAAGTGCTGAGCAGAGGGACCCTTGGTGGAGGCGGTGGGGAGAGCAGGGTTTCGGGAGCTTCCCTCTGCCCCAGAAAGAGTCAGTGACAGACTTGCTACCACGGGGCAGCTCTTCTCTGAGCCCCAGCTCTAGCTTCAGGTCTTGGAAGTGCAAGATCAGCAAACAGTGTGGCTGCACAGACCACCCATTGCCAGGGGCCAACAACCAGACCACAGAGCTCAATCAGCAATTAAGGAGCAATGATTCATCAATCAAATAAACAGAAGGAGTGTAAGAGACAATCTGAGAAAGGCTCTGCGAGCTAAAGCATTCTGTGACTGCTTCTTGAAAAGGAAGCTCACCCTTACTGAACACCTAGGATGTATTGTACCCTGTCCATCGCACTTCATGTCATCTATTTTATCCCACAGCCCTTCAGGAAGGAGCACTGGTACGCACTAGATTAATCTGCCCAGGCTGCTCTAACAAAACACCACAGACTGGGTGGCTTTAACAACAGATGCTCATTTGCCCATAGTTCTGGAAGCTGAAAGTCCAAGACCAAGGTGCTGGCAGGTGTGGTTTCCTCTAGGGCCTCTCTCGGCTTGCAGATGGCTGCTGCCTTCTCCCTGCGTCCCCGCGTGGTCCTTACTCTCTGTGTGCATCGCTGGTGTCTCTCTGAAAGCCCAAATTTCCTCTTCTAAGGACACCAGTCAGATTGGATTAAGCCCTCATTTTAACACCATGACTTCTTCTTTTAATTTCAATAGTTTTGGGGGTACAGGTGGTTTTTGATCGCAGGGATAAATTCTATAGTGGTGATCTCTGAGATCTAGGTGCACCCATCACCCGAGCAGTGTACACTGTACCCAGTATGTAGTCTAAAGCCCCATCTCCAGATAAGATGACATTCTGAGGTATTGGCGGTTAGGACTTCAACACGTGAATTCTGAGGGGAGAGAATTCAGCCTATGACATCCACTTCGCAGATGAGAAATCAGACTCCGAGAGGTTCAGGAATGGCCCAAGCTTGCTCAGCCAGGAGGCGGCAGAGACCAAGTGTGGCAAGGAGCTGAAAGATAATTGGAAGAAAACAAAGAACCGTCCTGTGTCTTGTTCATTTAGGTTTGTGAACAACGGTGCCGAGCTGGTTTGATAACATGGGAAGAGAACTGCTACTCCATTTCAGATGGCATTGTGTGGCCTCCTGTATATCTCTCTAGACATGTGTAACTGGGGGTAGCGGCTCCAAAGTTTTCCTGCTTATGAATCTACCCTTTTATTCTAACCGTTCCCATGTTTCTTTTTTGTTTGTTTTGTTCTGTTTTTCTGAGACAGGGTCTCACTCTGTTGCCGGAGCTGGAGTGCAGTGGCACAATCTCAGTTCACTGCAGCCTTGCCGTCCTGTGTTCCCACACTTCTCTCGCCAAGCACTAAGGGGGAAAATGTCTTTGAGAGGGGACAGATGTAAGGCCTCACTCATGGGCCCACCTGACCCACACACCTGCCATTCCATGAGTGGCAGCAGATCGATACTCAAAGGCCTGGGTAGCTCCCTCTGCACCCCACCCCATGTCCTCTCCTAGGTCCCCCAAGACGGGAGAGTGAGTCTGTTACTGGCAGCCTGGGGTCCTTCCTCTTGAATCTGCTCTGCCTGGCTCTTTTTCTGAAGACCAGGCTGGTACGTCCACTCTGAGACAGGAGTAGGTATATGAAAGAAGAGGGAGGTGGTTGGGCTAACAGAGAAACCCTACACAGTTCACCATGCCTGACTTCACTTCTGAGCAATTTCCACTGCCTCACATACACAAAGCCCATAATATTTGAGCTAGCCTGAGTGCGTTCCGAGAAAACAATGATTGGAAGACTCTGGAAGCACAGTAGTTGGTAGAAAGCTCACCTGCTCTCAGGTATCAGGCTAACTTCAAAGGAACTCCAGATGACTGCCCCTAAGCAAACTCCACGCACTGTGGGAGAATCCTGGTTCTCAAAACAGGTTAGGAGGCCAGGCATGCTGGCTCATGCCTGTAATCCCAGCACTTCGGGAGGCCAGGGCGGGCGGATCACCTGAGATCAGGAGATCAAGACCAGCCTGACCAACATGGCAAAACCTTGTCTCTACTAAAAATACAAAAATTGGCCTGGCATGCTGGCGTGTGCCTGTAATCCCAGCTACTTGGGAGGCTGAGGCAGGAGAATTGCTTGAACCTGGGAGGTGGAGGTTGCAGTGAGCCGAGATTGTGCCGCTGCACTCCAGTCGGGGCGACAGAGAAAGACTCCATCTCAAAAACAAACACAAACAAACAAACAAACAAACAAAAAACATCAATTAGGGCCAGAGTCAGAAGCTCAGATGCCAGGAGGACCCAGGTGGGCCAGGTAAAAGTGGGAAACTGGCCAGGCATAGCTGACAGGAGAGGAAGAACCCATAAAGCAGGAAGCCTCTACTCCTTCTTCCCTCCTTCCCATCTTCACCATGTGGAGATACACGCCCCATGTCCAACTCAAGGGCAGCCAGAAATCCAGACTTTTGTGATACCTGCTGATTTTCAAATGTTTGTTCAATTTTCTTTAGCCACTCTACAGACCTAACAAAAGTCCATGGGGCCAACAGCTCACAATCTCTGAACTTGAAGTGTTAGTTCCTTTATGATAAAGTCTCTGTTTCACTCAGAGACACGCTGGGGGATTTTGTTAAACAGAAGACACTCCTAGTACAAAAATAGAATGTGATTCACTCTCTAACAATGTTTAAGCACAGAAGCCGCAGTAAGGGATGCTTCTTCCCTTCACAAATTGCCTCACCTTGAGGTGTTTCAAGAGACAGATCTCTTAATGCATTTCAAATCAGGTTAGAGTGGCAAAAATCTAATTTTCATCCAACTTCTTGAAGAAAGATGGTAATTTCACTAAAGCCTGGATCAAGATTAAGGAAGGCATGAAGCAGAAGCCTGGGAGCAGGAAAATGAGGCGGGAGAGGGTGGTGGGGTGGAGGGTGAAAAGAAGGTGAAGCTGCATGCCCAGGCTGAGTGTTTGCAGAGAAGCTGGCAGCCCACGGTGTGAAGCCAGTCAGACAAAGAGCAGTGGGGCCTGGGGACCAGAGTGAGCAGAGAGGGGAAGAGGAGGAGGGAGCATCATTGGTTGCCATGGTGACAAAGGAACAGGGATGGGAAGAAAGAGTGAGGGGGATGTCAGAGAAGAGCTATGTTGTGCTGCTGCCTATAACAAGGTCTTCTTTACCGGGGTACCCTTGTCTGTGATTTCTTGGCCCCTCTGCTACTCCCCCCATCCAGATTCTCTGCTCATTCCTGGCATGAATAAATTACTGTGAAATTAAGGATATTCAGATCCTAAACATGGATGTGATGGATGAATGGGTACCTACTTATTGAGCCTCTGGGTCTCCAAAAGGCCTCTTGGAATCAAAATATTTTCTCCAATGTGCTTTCATAAAGTCCATGATTCCACCATTAGGGCAACATTGCTTATACTAAGGCTTTGTTCGTGTTCAATGATAAACCCTTATTAAGAGGGGGAATATCTTGGCTATCAATTTCTAGGGTCTTATGAGGAATTGATTTATTACATGTAATGACATGTATGTAATGATAACGTATCTAACGGGATCTCGGCTTCAGCCTAAGAATGTCCACTACTAGGGCTCAGGCCTATCTGGAGATGCGTGATAAACTGGTGGGGCAGACCCCAGACAGGACAGTTCATAGGATGGTTCCAGTAACATCTGCTGTGTGTGTCCAGCAGTTATTTCCCCTTGATTTTCTTTTGGGCCACTCCCTCTTCCTCAATCTTAGTCCATGAAGTTCAGGTAAACTGACTTCTAGTCAAGGGGTAGGCCCAGGACCCTGGCCAACCAGGGCATTCCATCTTCTGGCCAAAATGATTGGTTCATATGCGGACACATGACCCAAGCCTGACCAATGAGTTTCAAACCTGGATGTTTTGCTGAAACTCTTGGAAAGATGAGCTCTTATTCCATTGGCTACTAAGCTGGTAGACTGTGTGTCCAGAGATGCTGTTGGTTATATTGTTCCACTTGGGGAAGGCCTACCTGAGAATAAAACCGATATAGAGAAGAGCAGAGCCAAGATATGGGAATACAGATGGAGAAGGAGGGAGAGAGAAAGTGATTTCTTGATGACATGATTTGGGTCCCTGGATCCACCTGAGATAAGAGATATCCCTAGACCTTTTGACTTCCATTTTTGCTTTAACTGATTTGAATTGGGTTTCTCTCACTTACACCCAAGAGTTCTGAATCCTGCAAGGGCTTTCTCATATGAGTTGGCACCCAGGCTCAGCAACAGCTAACATAGGAGATACCATGGCACCTGTTCCCAGCCTGTTCTATAAAGAAAGATGTGTTCATGAACCTAACCAAGGGAGTCTGAAGGAGCTGCAGAGAAGCAGAGCCACTGGAACATATGTAAGCACGTGTGCCCGTCTGCAGGGAAGGAGCCATTTCACCACTTCTTGAGAGAAAACAGCCCTGCTCTAGCACCACGAAGGGCTTGATGACGGTGCCAAAGGAAGTGGAAGCAGGGCCTGGCTGAGAGGGGATGCCCAGCGGGAAACTCCACAGACAAGCATATGCTGTGTGCTGCCAACATACAGAGCACTGCGCTTGCAGGATGATGGTCCATGAAAGGTCTGGAAGCAGCCCAGGTGTCAATCAACCAGTGGGTAGATAAATAAAATGTGGGCTATCCATACAATATTTGGCAATAAAAAGGGATGAATTACAGATTCCTGCTACAACATGGATGAGCCTTAAATATGTTATGCTAAGAAGCTAGTCACAAAGAGTCACATGTATGATTTCACTTACATGGAATGTCCAGAATAGGCAAGTCTATAGACAGAAAGTAGATTCTTGGTTGCCTAGGGCTTGAGAAACAGAGGGATTGGGCAGCGACAACTAAAAGGTACAGGGTTTCTTTTGGGGTAAAGAGATATTCTAAAATTGATTGTGCTAGTGGTTGGTTGTTCAGCTCTATGAACACAGTAAAAACCATTGAATCATATACTTTAGAGGGTGAATTGCATGGTACGTGAATTATCTCAGTAAAATGGTTACCAATAAAAACAAGGTTTTTGAGATATCTGCCCAGTTGGTGTGTGATGGGGGTGAGAGCAGGGGATTGGCCTCCAGAAGGCAAGGGCATATCACATAGCTGCTGTCACTCTGGGCAGTACTGCCCTCAGACCTGGACAAGAGGGACCTTGCTCTGGGCGGGCACTTTTAAGAGGCCTCTACTCTGG